ACAAGGAGTGCAAAAAGGGAAAAATTTAAAAAATATTGATTTTTTAATTTTTTTTAATTTCTATTTTTTTTTTTTAACTTTATAAATTTTTATTATATTAATAAAATCTAAATTGCTTAATTAAATGTTTTATTCATGATTTTGCATCCATTAAAACATTATAAAATATCCGTTTTATCCATTTTATTCATAATTTTTGCATCTGTTAAAGCATTATAAAATCTACATTTTTTCCTTATTTTTTGTATACATTTTTTCTTACTTTTCCATATTAAGTATATGGTTTTTTGCATCTATTAAAGCATTATAAGATATATATTTTGTCCCTGATTTTTGCATCCATTAAAGCATTATAAGATATACGTTTTTTCCATGATTTTTGCATCTATTAAAATATTATAAGATATACATTTTGTCCGTGATTTTGCATCTGTTAAAGCATTATAAGATATACGTTTTGTCCATGATTTTTGCATCTGTTAAAGCATTATAAGATATACGTTTTATCCATGATTTTTGCATTTATTAAAGTATTATAAGATATACGTTTTGTCTGTGATTTTTGCATCTGTTAAAGCATTATAAGATATATGTTTTGTTCATAATTTTTGCATTCGTTAAAGCATTATAAGATATATATTTTGTCTGTGATTTTTGCATCCATTAAAACATTATAAGATATAGGTTTTGTCCATGATTTTTGCATCTGTTAAAGCATTATAAGATATACGTTTTGTTTATGATTTTTGCATCTGTTAAAATATTATAAGATATACGTTTTGTCCGTGATTTTTGCATCCATTAAAGCATTATAAGATATACGTTTTGTCTGTGATTTTTGCATCCGTTAAAGCATTATAAGATATACATTTTGTCCATGATTTTTGTATATGTTTTTTCCATTTTTCTGTATTAAGTTTAAGGTTTTTACTTAAGGAAAAAATGTATATATTATACTAAAATTCCATAAAAATTATACGTTATAAAACTTTATATTTTTATGGAATTTTTATATCAAATTTTTTATTGGGCTTCCTAATGGTATAGTATTATCAAAGCCAATGTCACCAAATTTTATTCCAAGTGACATTGATGAAGTTAGCTTTCCTTCACAAATAACATCTAATGATTATAACAGCGAAGAGTCCTTAGATTTAGACAGTATTTTAAGTTCTGTGTCAACTGATGCATGACCATAAGGAGGGTCAAGTTTGATACATTGGCTTCTTTGACAGATCTTCATAAGGGTAAATTCTATCCTGTCTTGACCCTCTTGCCGATCTTATTGTAAAAACAATTGTTATTTATATAGTTACCGGCAAGAGGTCAACTTAATACTACAAGAAGGTCAAGTTCAATACTTTTACATTAAGAAAATCTACAATGTAAATATATCTTAATGTACAGAAATCTTAAAGAACAAGGAAAAACTAGAGTTTATATCCATTTATCTGAATATCTGATTAACTTGTATCTGTTTCAATCTGGATATCCAGGATATCTTTTGAACGAAATTTTTATTTGAAGATTTTTTTTTTTTGTTTTCATAAATGATAATTTAATTTAATTTAATTTCTCTTATTTCAAAGTTAATAAAGAAACTTTGCTATACGCGTATTTTATATTGTTTCATGATATAACATATATGTATTATTCAAATCCGCAATATGTATTGTTAATTATAAATATATCTTAGCACATCATTTAAAATTATATGAAATATACAAAAAAAAATATTACAATATTTATAAAAAGAAATGATAGAAATATTTACAAAACTTAGAACCCTAATTTATAAAAATTTTACTTATGTTATAGCAATTACATTTATGATATCATAGTAGAACAAAAATGATCAATTTATTGAAGATTTACAATATGTATAAGACAAAATATTTGTCCTATACATGTAATCACGCTTCCAACAAGATCGTTCTCATTCCCACACAGTTTAACTATATGATCTAATCAAATTATTCAAATTCTGGAAAAATCTTACCATTTTTAATAATCGTTTGTAGATCTTGATAGATCGCTTTTATCGTTTACGAAAAAAAATAAAGCAATTATTACTTTTTACAATGACATTTGGTCAGTCTCCTTCTTGGAATTTACCCTTCGAGTAGAATCCACTGACCTTGACCTAATGCAAACTTCCTTATGCAACAATTTGAACTAAAGCTCACATGCTTACCATTTAACAATAACCAATGTGCTTTCTCTAATTTTTTAACCTAAAAATCTAAATCATGCTCATATCATGTAATTAACAGTATTATGTCAGATTATACGCATTTATTAATTTTGCTACTTTAGAAGATCTTGACACTGCTGTGACACAGCGCTAAAAATTTAAAAGGAAATGTCATATTGAATAGACCAAACCCTTATATGATTGATATAAGCTAGAGTAATACCGTCTATCAAGATCTCGTCTAACTGCTCAATATAATAATAATAACTCATATGCTGAAGCTCTTAAATCAAAGAATAAGCAATCGAAACTTAATCAAAATCTATTACCCTCTAATGTTAAAAATTCCTTCAAAAGCATTATTAAATCATCTTTATTCAATTGAAAATAAATTAATGATCTTCTTAGATAAATTACTTTCATAAAAAATCAGATTATTTATATGAAGAATACATCAGAACATTAATTATAAATTATCTTATCTAGAAACTTACATTAAGATATCTAATAACAGTAAAGAATCTAATATGAATTTATCAAATAAAATTGATTTAAACCTTAGTTTAGAAAACAAGGCTACTGATTCATATTTAAATATCTAACAACAAAATAATACTTGGACTACTCTATTGTTTAAAAAAGATCCTTCGATTTATTTTACAACATCTTATGTTCTAAATCAATAAGTAAAGTCATACAAGTTAAACTTTCTATTAATGAGCTTTGTGAAGAAGTATACTCAATAGCTATTGCCTTATATAAATTAATTCTAATACTTAATACTTCTTAATGAATATTACAACTAATAGAAATTTTTCAAATGAAGTGACCCTCAATATATTTATTTAAAAGATTAAATAAGTATTCAAATAATTCAATTTATAGTTTAATTAATAACTTTAATTTATTATTATTTGTAATTTATAATATTAGAAATTATTCTTCTGATACCAAAATACAACAAATTGAAACTTTTTTCACTAATTTTAATTTAGATATTTTTAGGACTAAGTGAAACTCATCTAATAATATTACAAATAATATATATTAATAAAACTTACATAACAAACCTTACAAATTCTTTTTTCATAACATTAACTGTTCTATTACGCAGTGTCAAAAGGTTAAATCTTTTATAGTTTATATTGTCAACGAAGCAATTGACCAGTCATAATGAAGTCATGTGAATGACGATCTTTTAATCCAGAATTCTGAAAATACTGAGAATTCTGCAAATTCTGAAATACGGAGGATCTACATAATTCTAAAGATCTTCCAAATACTGATGATAATCCTAATTTTATGAATTAGATGAAGTCTAAGAATATTTAGTGTTATACTTATTTTTAATATTCTAAATTTTATTATTATTTTTGTTATATTTTATATTTTTATTATTTCACGTATTTTTATTATTTTCAGTATACTTATTTTATTTGTATTTTATTTTGCTAAATTAGTTAATTTATAGCATAGTAATTAGTTAGTCATAATAAAAGAAATTTTGTATAAATAGATAGACTTTTTGCTTATGTTGTAAATTAATTCTTTTACGGATTAACAATTGAGTTTCAATATTAATAAAGAAATCATTCAAAACTTATATCTTTCTGTTTCTTTGTGTCTTCATATAGTCTGACGTGATCCCTACACATCATTTGTAATTGAGTTCGTCATCTGAATTCTTTAATTAAATTATTCATAATCTCATCTTTTAAGTCTTCATATTTGATAGATTTGTTAAGTCTAACACATAAATTTAGTAAAGTTAAGAGTTAAGTGGATTCTAACTTCTTAATTGCAGTAAACCGCAGTTAGAATTTTGAGTAGAACCTTAATAACGTGACCACTCCAAGTTAAAGAATTTCACAGTGATAATGTAGTAAAATCCATAGTTTTCAAGTTAGAAAAAGTTCTGTTATATATTGAAAATATATCTAAACCTTCGATAAATGTATGATTTATTTGCGATATACTGCCAAGTATATTTAATACATTGTCAAGTATATTTCTATATATTAAGTTAAAATAAATATTAATTACATTACTAATATAAAGTATCACAAAGTAGTCTTAGATGAAAAAAAGGTTTATTGATAAATAAACAAACTAAAGATAAAATACTAAAATAAAAAAATACAAAAAGAAGAATTAATCACAAACAAAAAAGAGTAGCCTTATACTATCTTTACAAAAAGTAAGGTTATACACAACCATTATTGAACTGATTAGATTGCATCTAGCAATTATGCTATAAAATATAAATCTCTATTGTAGGTTACATTGTAATAGATCTTAGTTTAGTACCTGTTAAATCTAGATTATAGTATTAATTTACTGTGGAATTTACTAGTTCAATTCTAAGAATAAATTTTATAGGATGTGCATAAACCATATGTATTAAAAATTACGAACTTGTAAAATATGATAAATCTGTATAGTTATATAAGTAACTATATTATACAAAACTGATTAAGTTCAGAGCTTGTATTAGGAACTAACCTGTAATAAACAAGTGTCACATCATCTACAAGGGTCATTTCTAATAATAAGTCATAACAGATCTATAGTAGATGCTAATTGAATAAAAGTCATAAGTTACAGATAGTTTCTAGTTGAAATGCTGTAGTGTTTATAGTACAATTAGAATTTGAGAGACCTGAATTCAATTCTTAGGGTGATTTTAACAGTCTGAATATAATAATTATATTGGACAACTATCCTAAATTAGATTGTTAAAGACTTCTCTTTCTAATAATTAGCCAGAATTTATTGTACTATAATAATATTGCAGATTAGCCATGTAGTGCTTACTTTATATAGCTTATCATGATAGCTAGTATATTCAACAGTTTAGACTGGCTTAAAATATAGTAAAGAGGCTAATTTTGAGTATAACGTTAAGCTCACATATAGATTATATATATAATTATTTAGTCTGGATACTCTGATATCTAATTACTAGAACAAACTCAAAAAAAAAATATTGATAGTTATCTTTTTTTAATGAATTTAGTTCTATATATATATATTTAATATTATATTAAATATATTAAATATATTACTATATTAAGTATATTAAATATATTAAATATATTAACTATATTAAACATGTTTAATATGTTTGATATTTTTAATATTTAGTATTAAATCACATTTGTAGATCATATATAGATTATATAATTATTATCCTGTAATAGTTCACAAAATTATTAAGATATTGGCTTTATTATTAAAAATTCACTGATCTATCATATATTCAATCAATAATCATTTTTAATCGCATTTTATTTGTTGATTTTTAGTTCAAAATCCAATTTAAATTAAAAAATTTTAAGTTTATCTTTCAGTTATATTTAATTATAAAGAGTTTTTTAAATATAGAATTCAGATTTAAAATAAACTTATAAAGTTATATATAATTAAAATATATTAACTTTCATATAATATTAATAAGAAATTTTAATATTGATATATCACAAAAATATAGTAATAAGTATAGACAGAATCTCTAAAGCTTTTTTCACAAAATTATTGATTTTAGCTTTATTTATACTATTTCATTCTTTTTTTATTATTCTTAACTACTTTTTAATTCTTTTTATATAATATATTTCTTATATACAGGGGGGTATAAAAAGTATTGGCCACCCTGGTTAATGTGACGCAAAAGTGGCGC